GCCTTTCATGTTATATCATTAAATTTAGTAATACTATTTCTCGGGCATTAGGTTTTAACTCTTATAAGAATATACATATTTTTTTCTGTTAATGTACAAATATTTTTCCGATGTGTTTTGGATATTCCTTCTCTAATAAAAAGAGATACCATTTTGTTTTCGTTTGCATAAGAAAGAATACCAAATATTTTTCTTTTTTAAATCTAATTAGCCACAATAAAGAAGAAACGTTGCAATGCTACGTGCTGCATTAAAGACCTCTCTAGAGTAACTGAATCACTGTTCATATGGAAATCGCAGGTATCCGTCTCATACAACATTGCCCCCTATAGTTCGTTGCGATCGCGAATAGTTTATTCATTTGTTTATTTTAATTCTTTTTTGTCGGGATGTTCAAGTTTATGAAGGATGAATGGAGGTATATATATATATATATACATATTTTATGAAAAAATCCAATTCAAATTGCAGGTTTGTAAACATAGAAAATGTGCAGTAAAAGATTAAATAGTTTTAAAATTGTTCTTAAGTTCTCTAAAACACACTTATAGTATGTCGATGCAAAAATATCAAACAATGCTTTTTCGACTAAGTATTGTTTTAAAAATTCTGTTGAATTAAAATACTTTAAAATTTTTCTGATATTTTTAACTAATTAAATGATTTAACCCCTGAGAGACAGTTGATTGACACATTATTTATTACAATACTATATATTAAAATGTATATTAAAAATATGTAAAAATTAAAACACATAAAGTATTAAAAATATATGAAGTAATCATGTATCAAAATATCACTTTTATGAATCACGTATTTTCCCTTTTTCAAAAGTCTCAATTGAAAAATAAGAATAATTTCTTTAAATAATACATTGAGGTAAAAGTAAAGTTACTTAAATCCAATATGTACAGTGTCTTAAAAATACAGTTTTATTTTGAAAAGAACATTTTGTCTGCTAAAGTTTATGATGAGAATGACATGAAATTTATAAATGCATAATATTATGTCATGTAATCCTACGTGATAAAACAATCACGAATGAGATAAAATTTTTGGGACATATTCTGACTTTTTAAATTGTAGTCGAATTTTTTAAAAAAAATATAAGAAAAAGGTCATAAAACGTTTTGCTAAACAAAAAAAAATTTTTTTTACTATGAATTTGAATTGATCTGAATTTCTGAGATGAAAGATACAACATTAATAATAATACTAGAGAAACTATCTCTAATATTGGTTTCGGTAGAGATTATAATGATTAAAATAAATATATTTATAAAACTCTAAATTGCAAAAAAGAAGAAAAAAAGTGAGAAACTCAAGAATATTAAAGCAGTTTAAGTTTAGCTATTTTCTCATCTTGTTCCGGTTCAATTTACATAGTTTTAAAAATCGAAATTGTTGTCTCTAAAAAGGAAATTTTATTCAGTTGATTCACAAGACTATAGTACTCACATTTTGAAGAAATTATAAATTATAATAATTGTGATGGGAATAATTTTTATGCGAATTTTATTTAATGTATTTATCATTTTATTATTTTCAAGCAAAGAAGCAGACAAGATGAGATATTTCGATTTTCTTGGATCGCATGATCCATTTTGATAACCATAAAAACTTTATACAAATGTACATGAAAAAAATAGGGAGACAACACATAGAACTCTTATTTTCCTTCCTCTATCGACAGTATTTATAGTTTCAGGATTAAAATTTTAAAAATTAATACTTTTAACTCAGAAAAAATATTTGTCGAAAATACCAAATTATGATAATGTTAATTAGCACAAAATAATTACTTTAAAAATCCCGTATTATTTTGATAAAAACAAAATAAATAAAATTACATCAAGTAAGCATTAAAACATTCATACAATAAATTAAATTTAACAAATTATCCCATTTTTAAAAAAAAATATTTTTATTAGTTTTTGTAACGGACTGTAAAATTATATGAATTTTTTTATGAAACTTTCGCATTTAAAGTCATTCTTCATTGTTTTAATTAATTAAAATACAAGTTAGTGTTAATTATTTATATTTGAACATAAATAATCAATGTTCATATAATTTTTTTAAAATTAATTATAAGTAAATTTCTTTATAAACAGAAACGTGACATTAAATTTCTGAATGAAAACAAAGTTATAGAAAAGTCATTAAAAGTTATAGAAAAGTCATTTGATTTATAATTTAAAAAATTAAAAAGTTACATTGATTTTATTAATATAAATACGAAGTAACTCCGTGCGTTCAAAATAAATTCGTTTAATATACAAACTATATAACAATTCTTGCAGTATATAAACATACAATCATAAATGTATTAAGTGATTTAATACAAACATTTGCTTACCTCCCCAGAATTTATTTAATGACTTCTTGTTTAAATAAGGATGGAATAACACTGTGAGCGCTTATATGTAAGAGAAGATTTAGAATGATTCTATGTCAGAGAAATTTTCTTGACAAAACCACACAAAAAAAATAAATAAATAAATAAAATAGAAAATGTCTACAAGAATCTTCCTCTACTGAAATCCCTGAAAGAAATCCCCCCTAGAAATTCTAGATAATTGCCTGTTTGAGACGTTGATATTTGAGACGTTTGGGTTTGTTGATATTTGACATTTTAAAAAACAGGACAAAAGGGCCCAGGGCCATAAATACGATAAAGATAATTTTAAAATGCTGAGCCCATTTTCCCATATGCTGAACTAAGAGGGCTATTTTTGGGGTATCAAATGACTACGTGTGTGATGCTAAGAGAGAATCATCTTTATCAGTTAACAGTGAGAAGAAAAGGAATGGTGGGAAGAGTGTTTTATTGCTTATTGAAAATGACATTTCTTGTAGTTCTCTAAGCATCTGTTTTATTTTTTTAGACAGTGCATTTTTCTGTATGTATTTTATTTTTTACTAATTTTCTTTTAATTGTATAAGTTGCTGCACTATATAAAAATAAGAGGGATAGAAGAAAGGAGAAATTAAAAGTTATGGAAACAAAACAGAAATATTTTCTCAAAATAATGGACCCTGGCTTCCCAATTATTGGGTGGGTCCGGACCCTCGGACCCCTATGGTTCCTACGCCAGTGGTGACAGCAGGGGGTTTCCCTGCCCGATCCGATGGATGGGCATGGAACTTTGGATCTCTGGAGTGTGGGACTACTTATTTTATGTAAGAGTCATTCAAAGTTATAAATGAGTCCCAGTCATGACTGGTCGATACGAATTCTGCATCTAGCTCGCACCGACCACAGAGCTGACGTAAAATATCCTCAGTGGTAAACGCATGATGTGTTAGAATCATCTTGCTATCAGACTAACCGTGGGAGGTTTTCATGGTTTTCCCCACCATGTAACACAAATGTGGGTTAGCTCCATCAAAAAGTCCTCCACGTAGGTAAAATTTTTCCAAATACTTGATCCTGGAGTTCCATTGTCTTCTGGATTAGGTTCAAAATTACTAGGCTACGGAATTGAACATTGGTAGTGGTAAACTCAAAATACGGTCAGCTGTTCAACGACGGTTATAAAATAAAACAAACACCTATCAATAAAATTAAGTAAGCTTTCCCCTAACAGCCCGTTGTGTGACGGGGGGATCAGGGAGGGTAATGCTCCACAATTTCGTGAGCAACGACATGATTGTGGGAATGTAAAGAGTACTGTGTAATGTCTGCCTTTACTTCCCAGACAAGCTGGTACCTCTCGATCTGAACTAGGGGGGTGGGCGCTTTAAGCCGCCATTGGGGATATTACTGAATCATTATTGTTGATATCATTATGCTTAACTACTGAAATTAATTAAAATATTTGGTGTGAATAATAAAAAGGCGATTTTCCATGGTTTTCCGAGATGAATAAGTACCTTTTCTCCATCAATTTAGCTTTTCAGAACAAAACTTATTTTTTTATTTCCCTTTATACCTATTGCCTAAATTAATTTACTGTAATTCTTGAAAATAATTAATAAGTAACTAATATTTTATGATCATTTATGGTAAACTAACTGATATCGGTAGTGATTTCGAAAACCTTAACAAAATCATCAAGCTACTACTGACACCAGTGTTGAATCAACTGTGGTATTAAATTTAAATACTACTGGTTTTACCTAGCACTGTGCAAATGAAAACCTATTATACCAATATACACCGAAGAGTAACTACATTATGACCACCCTCCATCTATAACAATGGGCTCGCCCAGGTTTTCATGGTTTCTCGCCCAGGAACAATGTTTTCATCGGGCACATTAGGACCCATAATCCTCATAGAACAATCCCTGGCGTCTGTAAGCTACTTGAATATAGTTGCAGACCAGGTTCACCCATTCATGGCAACAATTTTTCCTGCGGGGGATGGTGTTTACCAACAGGATAATGCACCATGTCATAAGGGTCGAATCATCGAGGAACATTTCAGTGACTTTCAAGTCATGTCTTGGGCCCCAAATTCACCTGAGCTTAATCCAATAGAGCATTTGTGGTCCTACTTGTAAAACCATAATTCGTGCTAATACGCTACCCCCTCGCAATGCAAGGGAATTGCAGGACCAGTTGGTGAGCGCTTGGCACCAGATACTTCAGACTACCTATCAGCACCTTGTGGAATCAATGCCACGGCGGGTGCTAGCAGTTTTGAGGGCTAAAGGTGGTCCTACATGTTATTAGCAGGGTGGTCATAATGTAATGGCTCTTCGGTGTAGGTGCCTAATAGGTGTTTTACCGATCTCCCAAACGGATAAATACCCTAATTACACCATGCCAAACTATCAGTATGCCAAATGTTATATCTCTTTGTCGGATAGTTTAAGAATGTATAAAGGACAGGTAGACAGACAAGCACTCATTTTTTACCTAAATAAAAAGAAGATGAACGATCTTATGTTATAATCAATGTTTATGATTAGAAGTGCTGATCTATTTTAAATTCTTTACGTCGTAGTACTCTCATGTATAAACAATCATATCAATAAAAAAAGAATCTGGAGTCAGAATCTAGAAAGATCTTTATTATTTATGTCACTTTGATAAAGGTTACAAAGGAGATAAATCGATATCAAATACTCCATATACTTTTTGTGGTGAAAAAGTAACGGATACTTTTCTTTTGTAGAGGCTTGTCAGTTTATTAGTTGCTGGGCAACCTATCTTTTTAATCATGTCGTTGGCCTCCTTGTTGTGAAACAAAGTTGCCATATAAAATCCTTTCTTCATGGGATAGGACAACATTAACTGTTTTAACATTGCCTCAGCAACATTTGGGTCATCAGCATATAATGGACTAACTAATGGAATGCCCTGACAACCTCGTTTTATTGTACCAAACCCAACACATTCTTCATTTTTAAGTGCCACAATAGTCTTGGTTTCTTTCTCTTCGCAGTTTAGTTTCAATAGCAACTCTCGATTAAAACCACATACTTTAAAGTCGTATTGATACATAGAGGGTAGATGAGCTTCTTTGTAAGTTTCAAGTATGATATCTTCAGGAACTGCATCAATTAATTTATCAGGGGTGATTATGTCTTCCAGAGTATCGTTCTCCTGAATAAGAAGTTTTTCTTCTTGGACCAAAAATTTTTCTTTTGTCTGATATAAACTTATTTTCTCCTTAACGGAATTCGCACCAACATTTCTGTTTCCAATGTGCTCTTTGCATGCATTCCAGATCTACAAAAAAGTGAAGAATAATGAAAATCTATAACGAAACAATAATTTACTTAACAATCTGTAGAAATGTATTTATAAAATATTCTGCTATTTTTACCAGGTGAAGGAATTAATTTCCTTTCCTTTTTGGGGGGCAAAAATAGGACAAAAGTTTTCTATTAACTAGGTTTTTTTTCTTCCAAAAGTTAGTTAAAAATTAAGTAAAAAAATAAAGTAAACAAAAAATAAATAAATGAAAGTAAGTCACCTAGAAATAGGTTGCTCAGAAACGGATTTTTAAACAAGTAAATTGCTTTAGCGAACTCGCACGTGTCAGTCAATTCACAACAAATAATGAAAAAAATGGCTAGAGAAATATAAATAAAAAATTACGTAAAACAAAACATAAAATAAGCATAGAAGTTTCTAGGCATGGCAAAGTAATTGCTATGGTGAACATACGTTAGTCAACCATATCACAATATTTATTAAAAAAGCTAAATGTTTGCTTACGAGTGTTAGTCAATTCACTACATGCATACTTTCAATAGTTGTATTATTTAATAAGAATAAAAGAAAATATTATAATACAATTGAATAAAATAGTATTATTTTTCGAACAACGTAGTAGCTTTTATTTCTATACATAGTTAAAATACTTTTTTTTAAACAGAATAATTGAAATAAAAACAGGCTACTGCATGACCACAGCTGCAACTTTAGTTAATTAATGATAAAAATACACTGAAGTTTCTGGTTGAATTTTTCAAATGACACTTTCAAATAAAACACTTTTTCTAAGGTCACTTTCAACTGAATAAAAGTCATAAACTTTTAGCTCATTTTAATGAAACTGGTTAAGTAAATAATGTCGTAAAAAGGAAACGTGAAAAAAATGATGACATCCACTGAAGCAGAATTAAGGAATTGAACAAAAAATTTATTTTTGAGCATCTTGAAAATAAAGATGAAGTCGTTATCAAATTAAAATAGAAAGACAATTACAAGTTATGCTTAAAAAACAAATAAACTCTTTTCATTCAGCATTACGAGCAACTATAATCTTCACCATAGAGATCTAAATTCCGTGAAGACAGTCCCTGTATTATTAAAATCCCTGTCAAAAAAGTATACATATTATACGTCATCAATTAATATTTAAGCAAAGAAAACTGATAAATCACAGTACAGGAAGCGATTGGAATAAACAACAAGTCAGGTTTGACTGCGGAAGGAAACAAAGAGTTGAAAAACGATTACTAGAATCATCTTCAAGATTAAATCTCCAATTTAATTTGTTTGAATGGGTTATTGCATGCGTCTTTCTTTACTATAATTCGTCAGTTTTAGACAACATTTTTGTTTTTCCAACGCTTAAATGTTAATTTGCTATTCCCAATATGTGTTTTTTGTTTTTATTTTTATAAGTAAACTTGCACATAAGGATGCTCTTTGTAAAGCATCCTGCATAATCTTTTTAATTTCGAATAATTGATCTCGTTTTAAAGTTAGCATCTTTTATTGAACTTTTACATGAAAACTCCTTCAGCATTTCTAAGCTGTAATTTAGTAAATATCAACAATATTTATTTAAAAAAAATTAGCTATTAAAGTTAAAAAGCAAGGTCTGGATACGCTAAAGTAAGTTTTAAAAACAATTTAGGCATTAAAGTGCCTAAATGTATTCCAAGAATCATCTTCTTTAAGTGTTACCACTTCTTTTAGTATGAATTGATCTTCAGCTGAATGATTATCTTCATGATTAACTTCTGCTGATAATCACCATCACCTAATCAATAGTTGATAACCACTATCAGCAAATTGATAAAATTGTCAGAGCCGAAAATCATCAAGTTAGTGCTCTTATTATTTCGTAAACATTACTAGTTATGAGAAAAATGTTTGCTTTGGAACAGGAGAAAGTTGAGTAAAATTAATTTTTTAGTCTTTTTTCCCTCAGTGAATAAAATTGCTTAAATGTTTTATTGAATTATAAATCAGCCTTTTAGTCAAAAAATAATAATTATTTAAAATAAAGAAAGGCACATTTTGGAAGGTAAATTTATTTTTATTGAAGTACACTCATGGCTGATTTTATCTACCCAGTCGAATAATAAAATCCAGATATGTCTGACTGACATATATTTAAAGTTTTCTTTTCTGAAGAATTGTTTGACTGTTTTAGTTCAAAATTTTTACCTTCTTCAGTGCAGTATTTTCAACATAAACATCTCATTAAGTGGTGCAGTTGAATATTTGTAAACTATTAAGCTGTTCAAATAGAAAAAAATAAAGATATAACTCATTCACTACTTAAACTTGATTTAAGTTAAATTGTCAAGAATTAATAAGTCATTGGTGACTACTTATACTCCTTTATTGAACATACTGAAATTTTAAAAAAACTCATCCTAATAAATAGTAAACATCCATTATTTGCTCTTATATATTTAGAATTAAATTCAATATTTGAATTTTATTTTAATGTGAAGGTTTTGTTCACGAATACATATGAGCATTTAAAATATTTAAAACAATTTATTCTCCAGTTCTAAACAACATTTAAGATAGATGCATTTATGCTTATTGGAAATGCGCTTTTTCAAACCTTATTAAGAGTTGAATTGTAATAAGAAAAAATTTAAACCACTTGCCCTACATAAATTTTGCCTTATCAAAAAAGCTTCATACTTATGAAATTTAAATACATTTTATTTTAACTAAAAGGTTTGCTTACTCAAAAAAAAAAGAACAAAAGCACTGCTGTTTTTACTAATTGTAAGGTTATAACGCGGCTATTTCTTACTTTCAATCCGATGTCTTTGCCTCTGTAAATTTTCCTGACAACGTAAAATCCAAAATAATGTAGATCGTCATAAAGTCGTACAGCACCACAAACGCCTATCACTTCTCCTGAAATACAATAATAATGCCATTTTGTTATAATGTTCCTTAAATTATAATCATATTTCTTCTTCACTTATTATCTTAGAAGTAATTAGAGTAGTTTTGATAGGGAAATATCAGTAATTAGTTGACAAACTGTAAAGTTTCGCTCAACTCATCATGACTATAATCAGTGTTGATAAAGAAAAACAATAAGTTTCATATATTGCGCTTAAGCTGCAAGTGAACAGCACTCATTAGATAAGTTCAAAATGAAGAATAAAACAAGGAAAAATTATTTCATATTTTGTAATCTGGCAATCTTTCTGCGAAAACATTTTTAAATCATTCTTGAAAAATATCCGTCCATGTAAGTTGTTATGATTTGGCTACTCGCTTTATAGTCCCCCCTTTTTAATGTTTTTTCTTTTTATTTTATTTAATTATCTGTTTTTACATGTTATTTTTTCTTTTTATGATCTATTTTATTTGTAGTTATTTTATAAAAAAATTTTTTGAGTGCTCCTCACACTATTGTATATTAATATATTTTGCTTTGGCTTTATTGATACAATATCAGAAAGCACTCTGATTTGCGGATATATTCGTGTGGGCTGAAGAAAAGATTATATCTTTTTTTTCCGGCTTTTTTTCCGGTTTTTTAATTAACATTTTTTTTTTAATAAAATGTTGTTTGTTATAAGAAGTAAGTAATAGTCGATAAGCAAGTATTACTGAAATAATCAATGAAAATCAATAATTAAAGGAAATATATAGGAAACGAAGCATTAATTAAGTAAAGAAACAACTAATTAATGATGAATGATAAATTAAACAAATAAGCGAAAATGTGATTATTTAAAATTTAAAAGAAACTAACAAATTATTGAGCATAATAATGAATGATTACATTAGTGAAATAATGAAAAACAAAACAAAGGCCGATATATGTAAATAAAAAAAAGAACTCATGATTAAACGAGTGACGAATTATTCATTTGTTTTAATAAAGATCAATGTTCTTTCTGAGCAATATACAACCCATTTACTAATGTTTTAATAATTATGTTGAATAGACTGTACATTATCGTAACTAAGGCAATTATTATGAATAAATTATGTATTACTTTAACTGTATATTTCTTTTCATAAATTTTTTTAGAACAAACTAAGAAGAAACAGAGCTCTCATCGCAACAATAATTTAATGTTAAGCTCATTGAATCAGTTATAAGTCAAAATAAAATCATTGAAATATTTAAATCTGTAAGACTAGAGAAAATATTATGCGTACATTCATCATTACGCCCTATTTTTCTTAAATCTGAATTATTTATTTAATTTTGCAAGCATTTTAAAATTGATTATACTTTATTTACATTGGAATACAGACTGAGGATAACATTATGCTTAAAATAAGTAAAATCTATGCTTACCATCATCTGTTACTGCTACTTTGAATCCATTTGAGTCTAGTTTACGCCATTTTTTGAGGCATAAGTCAAACTAAAATCATTGAAGTATTTAAATCGATAAAAATAGAGAAATGATTATGCGTACATTAATCATTACATCCTTTTTTTTAATCTGAATTATTTATTTAATATTTTAAACATTTTGAAATTGAGTATTCGTGATCGCAACGCTCGAGTACGCCCTCCATCGGGAGCCTGTAAATATCAGACACTAATTTATCACGTTTTCATTTAGTTCCATCAAAATCATCGGCCATGACGGACGCCATTTTCTTAGCAGCAAAAAATAAAAATTTCCCTAAGGAACAGCTGAAGAACTTGAAAAAACTAACCAGAACATGCCAAACATTGAAGCAGAACACGCCAAGCATTTGAAGAACAATTTCTCAATAATCCTTTCTATTACCAACAACATAACTTACAATTTCATGATCACTTGCTGTTACAGATGTGTATATTACGGTAAAATAAGTTTTTCTGTCTTCAATTCATTACAAATTAAAATGAAGTCAACATTGCTTTCGTCATTCCAATAAAGAAATGTGAATTCAGAACGTCAAGAACTGCAATAGTTATAGAATTCTTCTTTGTTATAGAACAGTATATATTTCTGTATCTATATAATTCGGAAAACAACAATAAAGAATCAACCAAATTACTTGAAATAGTGTCATTTGTGCTGATGATTAATAAATTTTTTATCGTTTTCTTGGTAAGTATTTCTTAGTTTTGAAAGAATAGATAATTTCAACTAGAATTCAGCTGTTCTGTTTTTAAGCTACATATTCAAATTCATATCGAGATCTTACAATTATAAAATTTTGATGTGTGGTATGTTATCTAAAAGTAATAAAGGGATAATCTATGCACATATTATTTGAAAATAAAACTTTCAAACGAAGAACATTTCATTTGGAACTCTACGGATTTATAAAGAAGGTAAGTGTTATGATTTTTATAATAAAAAATTAGCTTGTAAAACTTTTTTTTCTTATTTGATGATAGTTCTCTACAGAATGGTTTCTTACGTCTGATTAAGAACTATAAGAATAATAAGAAAAGAAACTATATGAAAGTTTTTATTTCAATGTAAAGAATTCTTAAAATCGTTTTTTATCCTAAGAATTCTTTATTTTCCGTTTTATAGTTTATAATTTTTTGATAAAAATTGTTGTCAAAATACTTTTTTTGAAAACATAAATGGTATAACATTATGTGTTTATGTATACTTCTTGCATATTCTAATGTTTCAAGTAATATGATTCAGAAAAGTATGAATAAAAATTCGGTACTTATGTATTAACGCCACAGCAGCTACAGATTTGGCTGTTTTTAAGTGCCGCCAATCTACACCTAAAATTTTTGTGACAAATCATAAAACGAAACACTTTATTTAAAATCAAAGTAGTTTATCGGATTTCGGTGGACAATGGGCAAAATATTTCGCTCCAGAAAAAATAAAATTGCATCTTGTTCTATTTTTGGCAAATCCCAAAGACGCATTTTCGTAGCACTAAAAAATGGTAACAAAAATCGAAGAACAAATCATTTTGGAATTCTTCTGATTTATAAAGCAGGTAAGTGTTAATTTTTATAAAATAAAAAATTTTACTTTTAAGTAGTTTTTTTCTTGATGATAGTTTTCTATAGAATGGTTTTCTACGTCCGATTATGAATCAAAAAAGAAAAAACATGAAAGTTGTTTATTTTAATATAAGGAATTTTTAGAATTGTTTTTTTTTTTTTTTGTATCGTAAGCATTCTTTACTTTACGTTTTTCAGTTTCTAAATAATGATTTTTATTAAAACTTAAAATTTTTTGATAAAATTACTTGTCAAAAAACTTTATTTACAAAATTAAATTACATAAAATTATGAAGCTTATGTATACTTTTTGCTTATTTTAATGTTTGAAGTAATATGATTCTTAAAACTATGGAATGTAAAGTTTAAATAGGCCTTTCAGGTTATATCATTAAATTTAGTAAAACTATTTCTCAGGCATTAGGTTTTAACTCTAATAAGAAGATACATATTTTTTTCTGTTTATTTACAAATATTTTTCAGATGTTTTTTGGATGTTCCTTCTTTAAAAAAAAAAGAGATACCATCTTGTTTTCGGTTGTATAAGAAAGGATATCAAACATTTTTCTTTTTTAAATTTAATAAGCCACATTAAAGAAGGAACGTTGCAATGCTACACGCTACATTAAAGACGTCTCCAGAGTAACTGAATGACGGTTCATATAGAAATCGCAGGTATGCGTCTCATACAACAACGCCCCCTATAGTTCGTTGCGATCGCGAATACATTGGAATGCAGACAGAGGATAACATTATTCTTAAAATAAGTAAAATCTATGCTTTTGCCATCATCTGTTACTGCTACTTTAAATCCATTTGAGTCCAGTTTACACCATTTTTTGACGCATTAAATCAGTTATAAGTCAAAATAAAATCATTGAAGTATTTAAATCGATAAAAATAGAGAAAAGATTATGCGTACATTAATCATTACGTCCTATTTTTTTTAATCTGAATTATTTATTTAATTTTGCAAACATTTTAAAATTGAGTATACATTATTTACATTGAGATGCAGACTGAGGATAACATTATTCTTAAAATAAGTAAAATCCATCCTCTGTTACTGTTACTTTAAATCCATTTGAGTCTAGTTTACGCCATTTTTTGACGCATTAAATCAGTTATAAGTCAAAATAAAATCATTGAAGTATTTAAATCGATAAAACTAGAGAAAAGATTATGCGTACATTAATCATTGCGTCCTATTTTTTTAAAACCTGAATTATTTATTTAATTTTGCAAACATTTTAAAATTAAGTATACGTTATTCACATTGGAATACAGACTGAGGATAACATTATTCTTAAAATAAGTAAAATCTATGCTTACCATCATCTGTTACTGCTACTTTAAATTCATTTGAGTCTAGTTTGCACCATTTTTTGACGCATTAAATCAGTTATAAGTCAAAACAAAATCATTGAAATATTTAAATCGATTAAACTGGAGAAAATATTATCATTCATCATTACGTCCTATTTTTTTTTTAATCTGAGTTATTTATTTAATTTTGCAAACATTTTAAAATTGAGTATACATTGGAATGCAGACTGAGGATAACATTCTTAAAATAAGTAAAATCTATGCTTACCATCATCTGTTACTGCTACTTTAAATCCTTTTGAGTCTAGTTTGCACCATTTTTTGATGCATTAAATCAGTTATAAGTCAAAATAAAATCATTGAAATATCTAAATCGATAAAACTAGAGAAAATGTTATGCGTACATTCATCATTACGTCCTATTTTTTTTTAATCTGAATTATTAATTTAATTTTGCAATCATTCTAAAATTGAGTATACATTATTTACATTGGAATGCAGATTGAGGTTAACATTATTCTTAAAATAAGAAAAATCTATGCTTACCATCATCTGTTACTGCTACTTTAAATCCATTTGAGTCTAGTTTACACCATTTTTTGACGCTATCATGTCCTGTATGCCACCCAGCTTCTTTATAAATATCCATAACTTGAGGTATCTCTTCTTCTTTCATATTTCTTATATTACATTTAATCGGCCCGTTGTCAGCTTTTTCCTCGTTCTGAAATTTTAAATAATTCATTATTTAAATGAATTTGATCAATTTTTGCACAGTGTGAAAGAAGTTTCAGGAAACAAATTCTGCAAATTCACGTTTCAGAAAAATTAATATGAAATATTGATCTGTAAGAAGCATTAAGTAAGTTCATAAGGACTCTGTGTTATTTTTGAAAAGTAACGCTATATAACCTTTACGCAAACGCTTGAACGCCAGATAATTTCTCCAAGTTAGTAGAAAGAAGTTAGTGGTTTATAGTTTAATAGGATTGTTGTCAAAACATATTTATGACCATTTTAAGACAAATCAAACCATGTCCTTTCCTTATTTACAGTTTTTCTTCTAACACACTTCAATTATTATACGTTTAGAAAAATGTCACAATGCACTGAAAAAAATATGGCAAGAACTACCAGAATATGGTAAAATTTACCCTGTTTCTGACTTTAAGAGAACATCAAAATACACGGTTTGGTATTTTCATCAAAACGTTTGGCAATGACTTATGGTAAAATTAATAATAAAGTATGCTTTTATTACTGTATTGTGTGTTAGTAAATGTGGTAAAATTTGGGAATTTTATTATGATACCTTAAAGCATATCATAAAACTATTTATTTGTTTAAGTTTATTTTTTCAGCTTTGTATTTTTACTAAATATGTGCTGACATGAACTGTAATTTTGAAAGCCAGAATTTTCGGAAACCGTTACCTTACAAATAAAAAATTGTTAAATGTATTGTTTAAATATCGTATATTTTCATTTTATTACCAGAATTATGTTTTTTCATTTTTACTAAGAGTGTCATTATCACGCAGATATGGAAATTTTACCAGAATTTTTTTTTCCGTCTGCATTCTGTGAAACTAAAAAAAAGGTTCTCTAATCGAGGAGTTATATTTTAAAAGTAATTAGAAAACATTGTTACAATATTGTAGGATTTTAACTAGGGAAAGAATGTATTTAATTGATTAATGGGAAAGATATACCAAATTAAAAATATTTTTTTTCTCATATTTACGGTGGGAAAAATAAGAAAATATTTCATATTTAGTAGTTTTCGTTTCTATAAAAGATAGAAGGAAAAAATACAAAGAACGGGATATACAACCTTTACAATAAACTTTACAATATAGAATTTTTTTGTTGTTGATCAAATCATTGGTTTTAACATTAATCCACATCGGGAAATTGAGTAAGGTATTTTCTAGTCAACAATTTTTATAATGACGAATAATAAATGTTTATGCTTAGAGTTTTTGTAATAACAATATATAAATCATTATACTCATACTGTACAAAACATTCAATTTTATGCCTTATATTGCTTATGATCGTTACCAAAAGTTTTATATCTTCCTCGAAATTTTTTAGATATGAAGTTTTAATAAGATCTGAAAAATTTTTGGATGGTGTTTTTTAAATTATTCGAACTCTGACAAGCAAAGATGCATTTTTAAGAAGTATTTTAAAGGCAAGGACAAGTTCTAAATACCGAGTTCTAAATACCAGGATTCGAATTTTGTTCGTAAAAATGAAAAAAAAGGCGTAATTGTTCCTAATGTTCAGATTGTAGGACAAAGCGTTGATTATAAAATCATGAGCTTTTGTCAGGCGAATTAAAAAAGAATCTACCGTGGTTTTTTTCTATCATATTGGTAAATGTTTTCTTGTTACATTACTATTCTTTTATTTATCACTTCGAAATCATCAAAAATATTCTCATAATTGTTTATGAAACATTTAAATAACGAGAACGTAAGATGTTAACAGTCGTTTGAAATAATGGCATATTCCTACACGGAGAAAAAAATCTGGCAAAATTACCGTATAGTAACGACATTTCTGGTAAAGGAATTATAATTCTGGTAATTAAACTAAAACATACGGTATTTAAACCATTATTTTAGGAACTTTTTTCTTTCGTTAATGTATTGATTTAACGAAAATTTTGATTTTCAAATTTATAGTTCTTATTAAATCACATTTAACAAAAACACAAAACTGAAAGTAAATTTTACTGAATAAAGGATTTTTTTACCATGCTCTAAAGTATCATGATAAAATTACCAAATTGTTCTTCCGAACTATCATTCCTTTAACCATTTATTTAGCAATTTTAACCTTTTAGAGTCTATGCATTTTATCAAAATACAGGGTGTTTATAAAGTCCCGGACCCATTTTGATGTTTAATAACTCATAAAATAATAAAGATAGATTAAAATTAATAACATAAATGGTTAGATAGACTCAAAAAGTTTCATGACCCTTGTCATTGAACTTCCTCGTGTGCCCCCTTCGGAGAATATCAAGTCAATAGTCATCACGCCAGGTAGCGGCAGGTATGACATCAAAATGGGTCCGGGACTTTATAAACACCCTATACAATAATAATAACCTGTTTACACTTCTATTGTTTACTTAAAATGGCGGGGGATATATCAAACTATGGTGTTTGTTTTATTCATTTTTCAAGAGGGTAGTGCATTAATTTATTTATTTACGAAAATAAGTACATTTCTTTGCAAAAACCATTTACTAAACCTCTATTTATTTTAAACCTACATTTTAAATAGCATTTGGTGGAAAGGCGAGACTTTTCGGGCAGAGTGCCCCTTTTAAAACAAAATATTAAAAAATTTTCGATTCCAAATATTTATTTATTGTGACTCATGAATATGCAGGTTTGTATGCTCATTAAACAAAGTAAAATTAATTATAAATACTTGTCATGTTAAATAACAGATAGCACAAGTACGAGAAGGACATTACAAAGATGCATGTATTGTAGCATGAAGGTAGTAGGTTCTATATATATATATCCCTGTGATGTCATTCTTCATCTTGTGCTATTTGTTCTTCAATACGAAGCAGACAAGAGTCTTTAAAAGAACTTCTAAGCTGAACTGTGCAGATGTCATTCTTCATCTTGTGCTATTTATTTTTCAATACGAAGCAGACAAGAGTCTCTGAAAGAACTTATAAGCTGAACTGTGCAGGAGCACACAAGCCTGCATAATTATGTGTAACAATAAACAAATAAATAATTAGATGTATACTGTGTTGCGATAAGATTCGATAAGATTCAATACTTCCATTTTAGAATGTTGGGAGAGTCTGATACGTGACATTTAAGTTGCTGATTTAATTCTGTCATGTACAGATATTTGCATACATAAAAATATGTAAAATTTTTAATTGTTGTAAACATTGATAAACGTTAACTTATAGTTTATACAGAAATAAAAACATCTAATCATTCTTAAACAAAGTGCTTACTAAATATAATAGGGCACATAAGTTGAACAATTTTGTGCTACTTCAAATGTTACAAGCACTGTTACACTGTCAAAATTACAATATTATCTCGAGCCGCGATGGCTCAGGAGATAGTGTGTTCGCCTTCCAATGAGGCGAACCGGGCTCGACTCCTAGTCTATACGAATTCCGCATCCGGCTTGCACCAACCACAGAGCTGACGTGAAATATCCTCAGTGGTAGACGGATCATGGGTTAGAATCCCATTGAAGTCAGGCTAACCGTGAGAAAGCGGGTTACCGTGAGAATGCAAATAGGGGTTAGCTCCATCAAAAGTCCTCCATGGAGGCAAATTTCTCCCAATACTTGATCCAGGCAAATTTCTCCCAATACTTGATCCAGGCAAATTTCTCCCAATACTTGAAAAAATCTGATATGATTGGAATTATTGATTATATTAAACAATACTGGTTTTTTTTAAACAATAATAATTCTAACTATGTGGTCGTTTATCTTCTCTCAAACAAAAACCTTTCTTACCGTTTCAATTGTACGACTTCCACAGGACACCGATTTTTTTTGCCATTTCTATGGTATCTATTCTTTCACCGTTCGAAATTTTTTTACCATTTCAAACGTATGTCTGTTCTCACATGTCTGTATGTCTGTCAAACGTATGTCTGTTCTGTCCTCAAAGTCTTTTACAGTTCTAATCGTATGTCTATTCTCAGCGATTAAACATTTTTTACCTTATCAATCGTATGTCTGTTCTCAGCCATCAAAGCATTTTTTACTGATTTCATAGTATTGAAAAACTTTTAAAATGCGCATAATTCAAAATGATATTTTTCAAATTATATTTTAAGTGTAGTATTGTTCTTCTTTCTGAAAAAATAATTATTATTTTCAGTCATTATCCTGCATTCGTCCAAAAAATTAACTCCGAAAAGTATGAGAACTAGCAAACCTACGCCAACCGAAATTAAAAATCAAAAAGTTAAAATATTGAAATACAAGATAGCCACTGTTTCAAGATGTCATAGGTAAAGTTTAAAAGTGTAAATTGAAAAAATATTTATTATTCATAGGAAAACAGATTAATACACTTTAAAATGTTGTTTAAAATCGTAATCGAAATATTTTCAATTCTGTAGCAGATCCTAAAATATCGACTAGTGTTAACCAGACATGGGTAATAAAAGTAAAGTAATATTTATAAATGATTGTTGATTTTCTAAAAGCTGAAGCAACCTATTTCTTTAAAATTAATAACAATAACAAAACGATAAAAATGTGTTACTTTAATGTCTTTCAAATACTACAGAGTAGAGTAAATAGTAAACTTGTAAATTAGTAGATTTATAAATTAGCATATTCGACAGTTAGTCCAAGAAATGTTGCTCTACGGAAAAACTTAAATACTAAATACTGGTAATTAATTACTGGAAAGCCTTTATTTGAACAAATATTCTTCTGGCCAGTTTGGAAATTTTAATAGTAACGGAGACAAAACGTACTATTTTTGCTGATGGTTTATTTTTAACTATCAAAACATTGTTCAAAAAATGTAAAATATAAACATTAATGTGTAATTAAGTTAAAAAACAACGTTTTATCTACTCATCAAAATTCAGTTTTACTTTTCTTAACAAATATTTAAAAATATTATATTTTACTAAAAGTTTTGAAAGACGGTGCTGGCAAATCGAGAAGAAGAATAACGTTGAAATCCATAGTTTGAACACAATCACGTCATTGTGCATGGCGTGTTAACATTACAGCTATTAGGCTAGGTTTATTATCACACTGAATCAATTATCGAAGAAGATTGGAAATTAGAGAAGTTGGGTTGTCGAACCTGATTGACTGCTGAATCGTGACGTAAACAAAATCACTCAATTACCCACACCTGACGTCACATGCAGGTAATCCGTTGTCATTATTTTTTTAAGCTATTTATTACTCCTTCACTAGAATAGTTAATAGAAAAAGGAAAATATTATTCTTGTTAGCTTAATTATTTCCTTATTTAATTATTTCTTTATGTAACTATTAGCTTAATACCAGCTCGTCGTACGAAAATCATCGTCGAATAAAAAATAAAAAAAATAATTACATTACGAAATCATTCGCAAAACTGAAAGGCATATCAACACAATTAATAAAGCTAAAATAATTCTAGTGGCTTTTTTTTTAATTTGCATTATTCGTTGCCCTTCCCGGTGGCTTTATGTTATTAAATTAAGCAAAACACGCCTTTTCAGTTCATCCTATCAGAATAAAGATTAATTTTAGTCAGTATCACTTGGCATCATGCAACTGTTCGCGGTCAGCTCATGCTAGTTGAAATTTACCACTATTTATATTGTAGTTAATTTCTCTGATACATACTTTCATGGGTCCGCAAGACACTAATTTTCTCAGTATCAGTATTAAAACTTCTCAGCAATGGTGCAGTTTTCATAATTAACAAATAAATCAAGATAATACTTTGTGTCTATATTAGCATATTTGGTACCTATTACATAACCTTTTAATGCTTAAATTTTAAATGAAATACAATAGCAAATCAGAAGTAGAAAAATAAGGCCAAAATTTTCAAATCAAATAGAATTCTTATAAGATGATAAGGAATTTGGAGTATGACTATTCCTCTATCTAACTTTTAAAATACTGCCTAAAATATTTATAAGTAGTGGTGGCAAAAAGACTTTGTAATACTATTTCATTATATTAGAGCACCATCTTTACTACCACTGGTAAAAAATGTTCTAAAATTACAGAAATCTTTTATGGAATTCTCATTAAAACTACACCAATTACCATAACACCAGTATTTGCATATTACCAAAATTAATTTAGCGTCGTATGCTTATAGCGGTTTTCTACAGTTCCCCCCCAAAAAGAAGTAAATTTTCTTGACTAATTTTGCTTTTCGGTACATAGCTTATTTCTTTATTTCAATACTCATCTATTACCTAAATTATTTAAGCATCAATAATAGTACTGTGATTTTTTACGCTTCTCGTTAACGAATGCGTACCACTTTCTCATCAATTTTGATTTTCAATTTATAACAATATTTTTTTTTTCATTATAGTTACCTAAGATTTGAAATTATTCACTGTTAGAGAAAGAAGTTTCAAAAGAATTACTTTAAACAAAATAAACACATGATTTCAGATTACTTTTGGAATACTAATTTGGTGACATAATCATTTCATGCTACCACGTTAACGTTGTTTATCGAACTTATCTGGTTTAACGAATAAGAAGTAACTTATTATTTAAATGTGTGCAATGAAGTCTTTTTTAATCAAATAGCAAATAAGCTAGCAACTGATGTTATTTTTGAAATATTTGCAAAAATAAAATTGTCTATAGTTAAATATTAAACAATAACTAACCCTTAACCAATCAGAAAATTCGGTTTCGTTTTTCACTTGTCTCGCTCGAACGGTGCGCAGTAGAATATTCTCATGTCAGCAGCGACCTTCGTGTTTCGAACTATCACTCGGATGGTTTAGAAGTCTCTAAACGACAAACGGACGGACATTCATTTTATTTGTATACATTTTTTCATATAACTATCTCTTTATATGATTATTATATTTTTATAATTATTTCTTTATATACTTATTTCGTTATATATATATTTTTATATAATTTTCAATATAAATAACAATTACTATGTTATAAAATTGATAATAATTTTACCCTTCTATGCATTCTCATCGGACAGAGCAGTCACATGATATGTTACGTCATTAATAAAAGTAAGAATGTCAAGTTATCTTTGGCTGGCATTGACATAAAATTGTTAAAAGTAATAACGATTATTTTTATGTTTATTTATTACACGGGGATAGAATTTTCTTTCAATACTACAAATACTTGATCTTACCTAATCAGGGTTNTACAGTAATATATATATACAACTAAACTAATTTCTAACTTCTATAGAATGCCAGAATCATTGTAGTTTTATTTATTTCAATAGCTAGTTCAATGAAAAATCAATTGAGAAAATTCCCTTTTTCAAGCGCCTCTTCTGAAGGATATAAATTAAACTTTTAAGCAATTTTTTAGGATTAGGAGCTGAAATTATACATTTGGACTATAGGGCAGATGTTCATTAGGTCGTATGAGAGACAAGCAAACATACCTACAGACAAACTTGTAATTTTATTATTATAGATTTATAAATCGTAACATACGAAAAATGAGTTTGATGGATGCTTTCAAATGTATATTACAGACATATTAACTCATATAGAATAAGTTTTACGACATCTGTTTTATATATATTTTATGGGATAGTGGGATTTATTTATTTATTCACATACCAATGTAAGTTTCTTTGTATATACAAGGAATGGTTTGAAAACCAATTCAATTTCAAAAGTAGGCAGCAAACTCTTAAGGAAAACCGCTTAAATATGCATCCAGAGTTATAGTGGGATTCGATTCAACTACATTCATGCTTCTGAGTGGTTTGTGAAAAACGATGCCACTTGGCGGAAAAGGCCCTTTTGATTTATTGCAAGTAAAATCATTAAACAAAAATAAGTTGAAACATATTAAAACTGAGGCATTAACCTGAAATAACAACAGCATCTTTTTTCTGAAATTGCCTTTAAAATTGCATTCAGAATTAGATTTGGGTTATTAAGTTAATAATTAAAATTATAATGTAAGAATGAGCTCATATGTTCTGTAATCTCATTTTATAATCGGTGCTTCTGATCAGAATGGTTGATTACTTTGTTTTCTAATTTATGCATCTCCAGTAGATAGTCATATCATTAAAATTATTTCCAGAATCAGAACATAAAAATATATTTTCATCATCTATACATCTTTTTGACCGATAAGATTACAAAGGAGATAAGTTGACATCAAATACTCCATACACTTTTTCCGGAGAAAATATAACGGGTACTTTTCTTCTGTAGAGGCGAGCCAGTTTGTAAGTTGGTGGGCAACCAATCTTTTTTATCATATCGTTGGCCTCCTTGTTGTGAAACAGCGTAGCCATATAAAATCCTTTCTTCAGGGGATAGGACAACATTAACTGTTTTAACATTGCCTCAGCAACATTTGGGTCATCAGCATATAATGGACTAACTAATGGAATGTCCTGACAACTTCGTTTTATTGTACCGAAACCAACGCATTCTTCATTTTTAAATGCCACAATAGTTTTGGTTTCTATCTCTTCGCAGTTTAGTTTCAACAGCAACTCTCGATTAAAACCACATACTTTAAAGTCGTATTGATACATAGAGGGTAGATGAGCTTCTTGGTATGTTTCAAGTATGACATCTTCAGGAAGTGAATCAATCAATTTATCAGGACTGATTATATCATCCAAGGTATCGTTTTCTTGAATAAGAAGTTCTTCTTCATGAACCACAAATTGTTCTCTTGTTTGGTATATACCTATTTTTTCAGGTACGGAATTCGTGCCAACATTTCTATTTCCAATGTGTTCTTTGCATGCATTCCAAACCTAAAAGAACAATAAATGAAAAATCAAGAAAAGGAATGAATAGTTTGCCAAACTAACCGCTAACTTAGCTATCTGACGAATAATAGTTATCCAAAACAATTCAGTTGTTTTTAATTGAGAAATAAATCAATTATATTCCCTACACTGAAAACAATTTCGGATCAAGTTACAGTACAAAGTACCGGGACTTAAGGTGCATCATCCGGAAAATTCATTTTTTCCGTAAAATATTATACCGTTATTTTCACAGTAATCTTTATTTAATTAAAGTGATTCACTGATATTACTGTACTTATCAAAAAAATTACGGAATATCAGATTTTTTGCTCCGTAACATGTTTTGGTAGGAATGCATTTTACGGCCGGAACTTTCTAACATAATTTGATCCAGAATTTTTTACAATAAACTTGAAGGATGGATGGGACATGAATGTTCTATCAGACAAACATGTCCAGTTTGCAAACTTGACAATTTGGTTCCTGCTAATATTTCAATCAAAAGATCAGCTTGAGCTGTTGAATAAAATTTATATGATATCAATGAAAAATAATATTTAAAAAAAAATTTAAAAAATATTCATATTTTAAATTTTTTCAAGAATCTCAAGAACTGTTTGACTGATTTTGAACAGTTCCTTTTCTCAGTTTGTAAGTAATTAGCAGAATTATTTACACATGTACCACATTCAATGGTACATATATCATAAAACTAGGATATTTGTAAACTTATTATCTGCGTACTAGTTTAAAAAAAGAGTTGAGCCACGTAACCACTTAAACTCGGTTAAATTTGTGAACATTTGATCTCCTTATTTTACCGCCGTACTGAAATTAACTATTAATAAAACGGGATATTATTAGATGTTATTTAATTTTACCTAGAAATTTACCTACAATATTGGTATTTTATTTTAATGTGATTGTTTTGATTCAGGAAATTTCAGCATTTTAAATAAAAATAACTAATTGGATGTTTTTATCCTAAACAACCTTTATGCTTTGATGCATAATGGTTAAATACTTTGAAGAATTATACGTATTCTTATAACCTGTTGAGATATTGTTTATAAAGTAAGTTGTTGTTGTTTTCGTATGCCTGTTAAGGCTGAGGGGTGCGATTGTCCTTGTTTTCCAGTGGCGCCATCTGTGGCCCAGAATTATAAAGTAAACCCTTTGATTTACATATATTTTGCATAGTAAGAAAAAGTTTAATGCTTATGAAATTTAAATATTATATTTTAATTTAGCTACATCACACAATCTTAAATAACACAACCATTTTATTTTAAGTAAATGTAATGTTAAAAATTAGTGATTTCTTACTTTTGTCCCGATGCCTTTACCTCTAAATTTTTTCCTGACGACGTAAAATCCAAAATAATGCAGATCTTCATAAAGCCGTACAGTACAGCAAACACCAAGAACTTGTCCTAAAGTAGAATAAAACATTTTTGTTACGACAAACGTAGAATAAAACAAAATAAAGTAGAACGAAACATTTTGCTACTTGAGACGACAAATGTACGAAAAAATACGATGAATTTATTTAAAAAATAAAATAAAAAATGGGAAGAGTGCAGTTATTTTTGAAGTGATAGATTTAAAATTAATATAACTTTTAAGGTTTTAAATTGATTTATTTACATATTTTATCGGTAAAACGTAATAAATCAACAAGACTGAGACTGCTATACTGTTAAAAATTTCAGATCAGATTCTTGCACTCAGGGTGCCGGTACTTTTTATCATATCATTCATTTTTTACCGGAATATGTTACGATGTTACGAAACTAGAAATCTGAAATAGCTTAATTTTTGCAGTAATAAGTAATTTTTACAGTAATAAATCACTGAATCACTCTGATTAGATAAATATTACTGTAAAAATTATGGTACAATATTTCACAGTAAAAATGGTTTAGATAAAACTGGATTTTACGCTAAAACTGGATTTTACAGATGATGCATCCAAATTGCCGGTAATTTATACCGTAATTTGATCCGAAACTTTTAACAGTGTGTATGAAAGTGCACTGAATAGTAACCTCACACCGAGAATTTCTTTTTTACTGTATACGATCAAAATAATGACAAGTAATATTTCTTTATCTGTAAAAATTCCCCTACGGGAAGAATTGATAAGTAATGGAAAATAAAATTTTTACGAGAACAAATTAATGGAAGGCTGGAAATTATTAATTTCTGAGTTACTACTTCATTTGTGACAGCTCCGCGTAAAAAAAAATTCATTGATGTTGTTTTCAGTAAGAATCATTAACCAGAGAATGAATAAGAAATGAATTGTACAATGAATAATTTAAATTTAAAAAAATGTGAATAATAATGAAATTTAAAAAAATAATTAAATTGATGAAAAAAGAATTGAATTAATACATAAACAGTCAAGCAAAATAATAATTAAAGGAGCGAATCGATAAAGAATTATGAAATAAATAAATAGAGATGAATGAACAAATTCTGATTAAATAATACTTATCGAACAAATAATACTGGAGTATTGAAATAATTAGAAAATTTAAAGATTTAAAAAGTAAATGGAGGCAATATTAAATATTAATGAAATAATAAAATATTTGGATTAATAAATAAGCTAATGAATATAATAAATAGGTGGTATGATTATTTAAAAATTAAAATTAGCAAGCAAAGCTAGTGAGCAAATTATTAAATAGAGGAATGAAAACATAAGTGCAAGAATATATGCTTAAATAAATGTGTAAATTATTGGACGAATGACGGAATAATTTGTTGTTTAAATATCATATAATAATGAATGAATATTTATCATATTTGACTAAAGCAATAATAGTGTCATTAAAACAAATTAAGTACTACCGTAACTAAAGCAATCATAATAATTCTGAATGAATTATATATAACCTTTAATGTAAATAACTTTTACTAAATTGTTTTGAAGCAAGTCTGTGAATTCAAAACAAGTAAAAAATCTAATGTTAACTAAATTGAATCAGTAATAAATCAAAATAGACCTTCGAAATGTTTTATTTGACAAAACATGAGACAAGATATGCATAGATCTAATAAATCTCCGGAATAAACTAAGTTTTTAATATGTTATTTAAGGAGAAAATATAAAAAAATATATTACTTACATTTAAAAGCAAACGGAGCAATACATTGTTAAAAAAAATAAACAGTAAATTCAGTGCCTACCATCATCTGTTACGGCTACTTTAAATGCATTCGGGTCCAGTTTATGCCATTTTTTGATACCATCATGCCCAGTGTGCCACTCAGTTTCTTTATAAATATCCATAACTTGAGGTATTTCTTCAGTCCTCATATTTCTTACATTAAACTCAATCTGTTCATTGTAAGTTTTTCCTCCGTTCTGTAACTTCAAATGTAAACTCATTATTTAAATAAATATGAATAATTTTTAAACAGAGTTAAATATGTTCAGAATAAATTTTTGCCGTTTCAGAAAATGTTATGAAATTATACGTTATAAAACTGACGAAAATTCTTGAACAAAAAATGTTTTTACAATTTCGACTTCGCTGAAAGAATAGCATTATTTATAACTCACTAAGATTGATGTAATAAAATTTTTATTACTATTTCAGAGCAAATCAAACCATGCCTACTCATTATTTATGGTTGTTCCTCTAATATATTTCAATTTTTATACTTCTAGCTGAGTTTTGCAATGAATTCTACGAAAATAAAAAATGGAAGTTTCCAAATCGATACTTTATACATTGTTATTTAAACATTATTTCAGTACACTGTTCAAAATTTCTCAGAGAAAAATTAAGTAACAATTTATTTAATTGTTATTTTACCGTATTCAAGCAAAACAGTCTAACAACCGTAAATAAAATATTATGCAGATTGTTAACGGTGTGAAAAACCATATATTAAATTTATTAACTATTTTATTATAATACGGTTAAACAACCAGAATTTTATCGTACTAAGTAGACCCAACTAATGAAGCCACTTAGTTCTTTGAAGCTGGGTACATATAATAGCCGAGAAGGCTGATCTGTCAATCTCATGACCAACAGAACGGGGGTACGAGTCCTAGCGTTGACACCACAATATTTCCTCCATTATCTCCAACGCATGAATAGTTTCAAGTCTCCTATCACTCCCTAATTTGCAATCCTAGACAATTAAAATACGATACTCTCATTCACGCATAGATGGCAGCACCGTAAAGCTGCTTAACACAAAAAGTCTAATATTTCCCTTCTCGTACGATAAGTGAAACCACTAATTAAATCACATTCCACTGTTCATTTGATAAAACATAACTCAACCACAACCTAAATCCAATGCACGTTACCTAACGAAATGCTTCCCTCCAATCCGTCAAAAAAATAATTTTTACGATTTTAAAACCATACTAGTTGTAAATGGTGAAGAAACCGTGTAGTTTTGTATTTATGTTTTTCTAACCATACTAGTTTAAAGCAATTACAAAACCATCAAGGTAAAAATGGTCTTTCCCGTAAACTTAATCGGATGGATAAACTGCTGTTGGTTATTTTACCGTATTTTTAGAATGAAATTTCTAACAGCGTATAAAATAAGATTTCAGACTCTGGAATGATTAATGACATATTTCATTTTGTATTTTATTGGCAAATATATTAAAACAAATTAAAAAATGTGTTAAATATTTAACTTGGCTTATATATTAGATTGAGTAAAAAATAATAAAAACAAAAACCGAAAAAGATATTAAAAAAAATTCAGCAAAATCTTTTAGATTGATCAAAATGCAACTAAAACTGTAAAATGTCCGTTTGTCTGAATGGAGTTTATAAGACATCTGAAAATTAATTGTTTTTATAACTTAGAAATATATTTTTTATATTTATCTATGTTTTTGATAACGTAGATCATTATCAGAAGCAAATAATGATTTTATCTCCCTAAGAACCTTAACAATAAAATTAAACTTAATTAGATATAAAACAGTTTTAAATGGTGCTTTTTAAAATTTTCAATCGGGCTTGCAAAGTTATATATTATACTAGGGGGCAAAGCCCACTGTTCACTACCGCTCAAACAGAAAACAGTTTTTCTACGAATGTTAAAAATATTCACGTAACATCTATGTACTAAAAGGAATTCTGTTTGCTTACGCTCTTGTGCCTCTACTTCCCACTTCCAAATATTAATATCTATTACTATTCGCGATCGCAACGAACTATAGGGGGCGTTGTTGTATGAGACTAATACCTGCGATTTCTATGGACTAACTTTAGCTCCAAACATTTC